GGCCTGGGGCCCTGCCTTCAACCTGAGGAGCAAAGCCATCTAATGGGCAAGAAGAAAAAGGATGCCTGATAACTTTCTTCAACCATAACTTCACAAAGGAACTTTACCAGGTATTCAAGAGTTGTGAATTTACTGAACATACAATTCATGTGAATGGAAAAATAGAAATTATTCTCATCTCGTCTGTTAATTTGGGAGCTCTGGTAGGATAGTGCCTAAGGCATTTGACTGCTAAGCAGAAGGCTGGCAGTTCAAACTCACCAGCCACTCCTTGGAAGGAAGGTTGGGTGATCTACTTCCATAGTGATACTGCCTTGGAAACCCAAGGAGGGGTCGCTATGAGTCGGATCCAACTTGATGGCAGTGAGTTTGTTTTTTTTGTTTCTGTCTGTTACTTTAAATAGATACTGCCTTTTTATACCCTAAACCCATTAATTTGCCCTTTTGTACACCAAATCCACCATAAAATTTAGTATAGAGGGGCTACGTGATAGTCTTCTTTTAGAACTTGGAATAAGGTTATCCTCTGAAAGTAAAACTTATGAAGGGAAATGGGAATGATAAGTCATTTGTAGAAGCAATTCATGCTAAGAAATGGGCTGAAAGAACCTGGCTAAAAAGATTAAGGGAGAAAACCCAAGAATAGTTAGGGTGATGAGGTTGTTTCCTTAGGACACCAATGTAAACTTGTCCATTGAAAACTCCTACAGAGTGGAAACTATTGGATATAGTCTTCATCTTAGTCCCTGGCGCAGAGATGGGTGTCAATAAAAAGACTATAAGCCATCAAGAAGCTTAAACCTCTCTAACAATGCTATCACATTCAGCCCAATAACTGCAAAAACTCTTATTTTACTTAATTAATTCTGTACCCAGAATTTCTCTCTTTATGTCCTTGTGTGCTTGGGTTTGCTCCACCTTCACTCCATTCTTCAACTTCCACAGACCTGACCCAGATATGTTCACATTTTATCAAGACACACTAAGCCAAGGCTTTATCTTGGTTTAGTGGTTCTCAACTTTGGTTGCAAGTTAGAATCACGTAGAAAGCTTTTAAAATTTATGATACCCAGACTGTGCCCCCAGAACAATTGAATCAGAATCCCTGGGAATAGATGTGACCCAATCATCAGTATTTTAAAAAAATCCTTGGGTTATGGCAATGTTCAGGCAACACTGTGAGTCACTATTCAGTTACTTATCAATAACAGGAAAGCACTGTCCAAGTCTTTACCTCCTAATGTATCTAGAACCAGCTACTCAAAGCAGCTATCCCTTTTTCTTTCTTCCTGGAGGGTCTTTGCAGTCTAGCCAAGACACCTCACTCTTACCTATTATTCCTCAATCTTCAACTGAATAAACTCCCAGCCCCTCCCCAGCCTCCAAGAAAATCATTATACCAAAACAGTAAAATTTATTTGTACTGTAATAGATAGCAGAAGCTCTGGTAGCGTAGTGCCTAAGGCATTTGACTGCTAACCAGACAGCTGGTGGTTCAAACCCACCAGCCACTCCTCGGAAGGAAGGTTGGGCAATCTACTTCTGCAGTGATACCACCTCGGAAACCCAAGAAGGGGTCGCTCTGAGTCGGAACCGACTCGATGGCAGTGCGTTGCATTGTGTTGTGTTATAGATAACAACTCCTACTGGGCACAATTACTGCTTCTGAATCCGAACTGGTGGTAAAGTCATCCTTTTTTTTTTTTTTTACATAATTTATTTTTGTTAATATACGCAGCAAAACATATACCAATTCAAGTTTCTACATGTACAATTCAGTGGCATTGATTAAGTTCTTTTAAATGTGCAACCATTCTCACCCTCCTTTTCTGAGTTTTTCCTTCCCCCGTTAACATAAACTCACTGCCCCCTAAGGTTCCTATCAGATCTTTTGAGATACTGTTATCAACTTGATCTCATATAGATAGATCTTAAAAGACCATAATGCTCAAGGCAGAGACGCTTTTTTCTAGTTAAGCTAATATATTGTTTGATTTTAAGAAAACTTCAAGGGATATTTTTTGGTGTAAGGCTTAAAGATTCTCTCAAGGCAATAGTTTCAGGGGTTCTTCCAGCCTTTATGACTCCAGAAAGTCTGGATTACAAGAAAATTTGAAATCCATTTCTTCATTCTCCCCACTTTTGATCAGGATCCTTTTATAGAATCTCTGATCAAAATGTTCAGTAACAGTAGCTGGCACCATCCAGTTCTTCTGGTCTCATGGCAAAGTAAGCAGTTCAAAGTCATCTTAAATGGATTTGCTTTTTATTTCCTTCATTTTTAATAACATTATAACACAGTGCCCAGAAATTCCCAATTTAAGGAAATTTCTAGAGATTTCAAGAATGTAGCTTTCTCTGAGACAGAAACATAATTTGAGAAGATTTTAATAAGGTTTATCTCTCAGCAAAGATATTGATTATCTTGATCTTTCAAAGTACTTTTAATATAACTGTATGTTCAAAAAATCAAATTAAACATACTAAACAGAAGAATGAACTTTTATTTACATTCCTGTGACTATAAGTCACTGAGCACAGGGATACAGTTAAGTCCATGATCCTGACTGTGGACTCTCAAGGCAAACACATTTCTCACAGTGGGAAACACAATGGTATAACGCAGAGATGGCAAATTATGTGGTAAAAGTGTTACCACTTCCCCTCGGAAACTCACAGTAGATATTGCTTATCTATCACAGTTGTAAAATCATTCCAGCGTACCAGGTATACCAGGTACCCCTATAAACTGATTGTCAATTTATTTGAAATAAAGGCCGTGAGCCTTATAGTGTAAAACAAACAACAACTCAAAACCAAAACCAAAACAACAAAACACTTGGGTTTAAGCTTCAGCTTTGTCACTTTCTAGCTGTGTGACTTGGTTTCATTTCTAAACTGTCAGTAACAGTGTCCATCTTACAGCTGTTGAAGGGTTTGTAGCCAGTGCCAGGCACAGAATCTTACAGCTCAGTGGCTCTATATTGCAGTCCCAGGAACTGCATCTCCTTAATCTTTCTTCACTTCACCTTCTGAATAGTCCACAGGACAATGAAATATATTTCAGAGTTCTTGGTTAAGAATAATTGAAGAGCATTAGTAGTTCAACTTATTTAACCTCAAATTCCCTAAGTCACCATTTCCATCTTCTGCCAACCCTCAATTCCAAGTCACAGTTCTTGACTATGGATGCTGAATATAAGAATAAGTCTTCTACTCTGTAAACAAACATTTACTTTAGGTCACTATATATGGTAAATTATAAACTGGATTCATTTTAGGGTGTCACTTTCCCTAAGTTCTTTGTACTTATTGATAAGGCCATGTTATAAGATTTTAATCTTTACCTCTGTGAGGTGTTACATAAACAAATGGAAAGTTTAAATGTTTTGAGTGAAGCATACCACACAACATTCAGAATTTGGTCAGAAAATTAAAATGTGTTCAAGTCCCTATGATCAGCCTCTGCTGTGCTAGGATAGCAGTATTGCTTGGAATCCAACATATTCAGCTTATTCATTAGTATTGGGAATAAAAATGTCAGCAGAACATATTTCTAGAGAATGCATTATTAAATAAAACAATGACAAAGTCAAAAATACTCTTGAATGCCAGAAGTTGTGAATCCATTAGTTTAGAATGTGTTTTTTTCCTAAAGCATTCCTTAACAGATTATTCAGAATACATGATCAGAAGTGATGGAATACTACTGAACCCTCTACATGAATATTAAAATATGTGTTTATAGGCTTCCCTGGTTATGTTTATTCAATTGAAACAATTAAATACAGATTACACTGACAGAACCAAAATCTTGTGTTTGCTTGGGGTGCAAGGAAAAACATATGCTTATTAAAAGCCTTTGATCATGTAGAAGATGGTTGTTTTGAAAAATCGATTAAAATATCTTTGCCTTGCTATAACTGCAATTTGCTCTTTTAAAGGTAAATTTATTCTTAAGACATTTCACTTTTATTTGCACCATTTTACTAGTGTGAAAATGCTTTATGGTTTTTTTTTTTTTTTTCCCCTTCTTTCCAGGCCTTCAATGTACTTTTTCATAGTTCATTTCATTTGTTCTAGTAGTACTTCATACACAGGAAAAAGTTTGGTTCCCTAAAGAATATCCCTTTCTCTTCAACTCTTTTTATTCTTCGGTTGCCCATATGGTAAAATCAACTCAGTGAAGAACTGAGATCGTATTTTTTACACAATATAACTTGGTATCACAAGGTCATACCTTCATTTTGGAGTGTTTTCCTTCTATCAGGGAGCTCTGGTGGCATAGTGCCTAAAGTATTTGACTGCTAACCAGAAGGCTGGTGGTTCAAACCCACCAGCCACTCCTCGGAAAGAAGGCAATCTACATCCGTAAAGATACTGCCTTGAAACCCAAGGAGGGGTCCGACTCCACAGCAGTGAGTTTGGTTTTGGTTTGTTTTTTTGATTTCCTTCTATCATAGCTAGATGTATCTGTAGGATGCAAATAACACTACCCCACGACCTTCGCACAAGATGCCTGGGAAGACGGTTCTGCTCCCATAGTGGGCATTTCCTAGGTACTCTCCTAGGATTTGACAATGATTATGCACACACGCCGCACAATTTCCCTCAAGGTGTGTGGCTCATTGGTGGATTCAGCAGTTTTGAAACCTATGACTGACGCATCATCACACTGATGGCCATCTCTGCAATGCGCTGACCCAGGACAAGGTGCTGGACACAAGAATCACGTGCTGAGATTCTAAGAACATGCCCCTCCAACTTGGGCCCACCAAAATGCACTTCACGACAAACTCAGCAGGGAGCCTTATGGATCTCCCGAATGAACGTCATCAGATGCATCTATTCAGTCCTAAAGAGCCGTAACTAGTAACTGCTTTAACCGCCATTGTCTCAGATGAACCTGGGGCTCTGGCAGTCCTCGTTCTTTTCCCATCTCCTCCGTTCCCCGTGCCCCTCGCCCCTCTCCTGTATCCTCCTCTCAGATCCCCACGTACCCACATCGCCCAAGAAATAGCCGTCCGAGGCCCGTAGCTCCATGCCGCGTGCTGGCGGGGAACAACCCAAGCTCCGCGACCGGGGGACTGTCGGTGTCCCGGACCTGGGCCAGGCACCTTGATGGACCCGGCTGGACAGCTGCCAGGCGCCACTGCCGACCAATCGGCGCGCTCGGGGCTGGGCGCCTGGCGGGAGGTCTCCCTGCGGGTGCTGGGATATGTAGTTTTCTCCAGCGAGTCCTAGCGCGTTTCCCAGCCGGCGGCCAAGCGCCGAGTCATTGTTAGGCGTGTCCTGACTCCGCCGGAAGCTATCGGCCGCAGTTTGCTGGACGCGCCAATGAAGTATGTATGTTTGTATGTACGTAACTTATGTCCAGGTGCGAAAACTCTTTCTGATCTTTTGCATTTATCGAGCTCAGAAAAGGACCCGAGTTCCTTCATGCTTTAAACGCTCAAGAAGCACTTCCTTCCGCAGGTGGTGGTAATTATCCCTGTTTCTTTAATCTTTCCAAATAATAAATTTTAAATACTTGAAGTATACTTTATAAAAACTCACCTCCAAGTCTTTAGGGATAGGTTTAAAATTAAATGTTTTCCCCAAAATTCTTTTCAGATTACAAAGAGAGCAGGGCGTGCCAGAAATTCGTGGAACAAGTAAACAATGAAGAATTTACAAAACGGTTTACAAAATTCAGAAGACTTGATCCGACGACCTGCTCCCATAAAGATTACAAGCCTAGAAAACCCTATGGGGCAGTTCTATACTGTCACATTCAGTCCCTGTGAGAAATCCACTGGAAGGCACCTAACAACAAAACAACTTTGCTAAAGTTCTGGCGGTTCAAACCCACCAGCCACTCCTCGGAAGGAAGGTTGGGCAATCTTACTTCAGTAGTGATACTGCCTCGGAAACCCAAGGAGGAGTCGCTATGAGTCGGGCCGACTGGCAGGCACGTAACAACAACAACAAAGTTCTCTGCGTCCTTGTCACAAGCTTCCTCACCCACCTTGATCTGTACGTAGCATAAATGCATAAGTTTGGGCTCAAACTTAAAAGTATCAACAATCATATGATCTGGAAATTGGTAAGAAAAAGAAAAGAAAGAAAGAAACAACCAGAGAGCAGTTGCATCTCTCATTCCTTGCATGGCTTCTCCGACTCAAGTTTTTTTAATCTTCAATCCGGATTAAATCAAACCAAACCAAATCCACTGCCATCGAGAGGATTCGGACTCATAGAAACCCCCATTGGGTTCCAAGTCTGTAAATCTTTACGGAAGATGGCTTCATCTTCCTCCCGCTGAGCTTGTGGATTTGAACCCGATTACCCATACTGTATTTAGGAGGGATTTTAATCTATCTGTAGGAATCCAAAACTCGTGGCAATTCAGAGCCCCATACCTGGGAATGAAATTTCAAGGCTGTTAGCAATGTGTGCTTGTACTCTTTGCCACCAGTCTACCAATAGTTGGCTATAAAAGTTTTCTTGCATTTTTTTTAAATTATTTTTTTTTTAATTTTTGCAACGTTCCCTCCCTCCCACTTCCACTCCTGGTAACCAACAAAGAAAGTTTCCTTCCATATATAAACCTTTCCTAGACTTTTTACAATAACAGACTAATATGATATTTGTCCTTCTGTGTTCTTGCATTTTTTACTCAACATAGCAGAGATTTGTACAGGTGGTTCAAACTCACCAGCCACTCCTCGGAAGGAAGACTGGGCAATCTACTTCTGTAGTGATACCACCTCGAAAACCCAAGGAGGTGTCACTATGAGTCTAATTGACTGGACAGCAGTGTTTGGTTTTTTGGTTAGACATCATGAAGCAAGATATCTTAAAAAATTAGATATACAGTAAGAACAGATTGACTACCAAATAACAAGGCTTCCTATGAAGCTACAGTAATTAAAATAGCATGATAATCTGGAGTATAAAAGAGAGCTCTTCAGAAACAGATTCACTTACATGAGGAACCCTGGTGTTGAACAAAAGTGGTATTACAAATCAAGGAGAAAGGAGAATCAATAAATCACACCAAGTCAAATGTCTATATGAAAAAATAAAACATTTGCTTCCTACTTCACAGCACATGTAAAAACTAGTTTCTGATGGGTTAAAGAACTAAGGGTATAAAGCAAAAATGTGACCAAAACAAGAAAAAATTGTTACGACATCATAATAGAGAAAAATTTCTTAAGACACAAAAAGCTCAAACCATAAAGGAAAAGATTGATCAATATGACTACATTAAAATAAAAAGCTCTTATAGGACAAAGGACCCTATACATCAAGTAAGAAAATAGCCACAGATAGGAAGAAGATAGTTGCAACTCTTGTAACCATCAATAGTCTCCAGTTTAATATGAAGTTCTATGAATCATTAAAAAAGATTTTTTTTTTTTTAAATGTTGTTAAAAAGCCAGGAGCCCAGACAGAAGAGCAGTCAGCCCCAGGCTTACAGGCGAGGAGAGACAACTCAGGGACGCCCGAAGTAGCAAGCAGGAAGATCAGGAGAAAGGGTTAAAAGCCAGGAAGCCAGAGAAAAGAGCAGTCAGCTGAAGGGTTCAGGTGAGGAGAGGCAACTCAGGACTGCCCAGAGTGGCAGACCGGAAGAGCAGGAGGAAGGGGATAAAAAGCCAGGAACCCGGACAGAAGCGGAAAGAGCAGTCAGCCAAAGGGATTAGGTGAGGAGGGGCAACTCAGGCCCGCCAGAAGTAGCAAGCGGGAAGAGCAGGAGAAAGGGGTTTAAAAGCCAGGAAGCCAGAGAGTAGAGCAGTCAGCCGAAGGGATTAGATGAGGAGGGGCAACTCAGGCCCGCCCAGAGTAGCAGGCCGGAAGAGCAGGAGGAAGGGGATGAAAAGCCAGGAACCCAGACAGAAGAGCAGTCAGCCCAGGCTTACAGGTGAGGAGAGACAACTCAGGCCCGCCCGAAGTAGCAAGCGGGAAGAGCAGGAGAAAGGGGTTTAAAAGCCAGGAAGCCAGAGAAAAGA